GACTTGTGGACTTCAACTCCCAGCAGAGCTGGCTGGAGAATTCTGGGAGTTGAAGTCCACAAGTCTTAAAGTTGCCAAGTTTGGGAACCACTGCTATAGGACTTTGAGGGAACACAGTCTGTGGGAATGGTAGTCCAATTAACTTAGTGATGACAAATTGACTCAGGGACTTATCTCCTTTTACCAAATGACAGAATATGGAGAAATCCCTTTCTTAATGCCCCACAATCAAAAATCAGATCCTTGGGTGGGTCTTACTCAACTTTACTTTCTGTTCAAACATATATTTTTAAAAGCAAAATTATTTGTTGCTAAGAATTATGTCGCATTAAGTCCATTTTCTCAATATGCTGAAGCAGCACCAAATGCTTGCCACTGAATATGTGGAAGGAGGATGCTACCAATGTATGCAACAGGACAGAATCTTCTGGGATGTCTTCTCAGTGAGGAAGGAAGGAGTTAAGTAGTTTAGATGTTTTAACGTCATCAGTATTTCTACATTTCCTACAGCTGCTCCACTTTGTTTATATCAGAGAAACTGCTGCAGGCTGGAATTTGGCAAGGTTAAAATGTGCTGGAAATAGAAGTTGAGGGTTTTTTTTTACCTTTAATGCTTGTTCCTTAAAGTACTGCAGAGCATATGCAAATATTTCAAGGGCCTTGACTTTCTTGCCATTTGCTGCTGACAAGTCAGTTTCCAGAGTGAGATTCTGAAGAAGAAAATAATTTTCAGAAGTAATAAATATTAAACCATGCTTTTTGAGTTGAGGGAATACAACATTGAACCTCACTCATAATGCCTTCTGCCTAATACTCACAATTCTTATAGGTTTTAGGTTGTATCATTTTATTTTTATTGTTTTGCCCTTCTTACTTTTTCCTACAAGTAGTCCTTGACTTATGATAGGCTGCTTAGTGACCATTCAAATTTATGATGAACCTACTGGGAGTTATTTACAACCCCGTTTCGAAGTTCTGATTATTGCCCTCTATGGTCACATGACCAAAATTCCACTGCTCAGCAACTAGGCCTCATTTAAAGCCGATCCTACAATCACGTGATCATGTTTATCAAACAATGGCATTTACTTTCAGTTTTTAGCGAAACGGCATCCATAGAGATACTGATATGCCTAACGCCATTTTATAGCTATCACAAAAGAGGTTGGACAGGTTTCATTATGGCAGTGGTTCCCAAACTTGGCTACTTTAAGACTTGTGGACTTCAACTCCCAGAATTCTCCAGCTGGGAGTTGAAGTCCACAAGTCTTAAAGTTGCCAAGTTTGGGAACCACTGCATTATGGTGATAAGTATTGATCCTCCTCTTGCGCAGATGAGAGAAAGTGAGAAGAGTTATTATTGCTAGTATGCCTTGATACTACATAACCAGGGGAAACAGCTACAGAAATTTTTTCCACTTTTTTATCTATCCCCCTAAAGGTAGCACAGGTAATAAATGCCTTATCTGTCTTACATATCGATGCTGGACAGTTTGCAAAGTGAGGATCCCCCTGAAAACAAGATGGCGGCATAGAGATTTATGAAAAATTGCTGACTCCAGTTATGGCTGGGGCAGAAAGACAACAGAGAACTTCTGGAAAAAGGATTGAAGCCTTTAGGTTTCTATTTGATAGGCTCGGCTATTTTGCTATATAGGTAGTCCTCAATTTATGACCACAATTGAGCCCAACATTTCTGTTGTTAGGGGAGACATTTGTTAAGTGAATTTTGCCCCCATTTTACGACCTTTACATTTTCCTCGGTTGTTAAGCGAATCACCGCAATTGATAAGTTAGTAACTCGGTTGTTAAGTGAATCTGGCTTCCCCATTGACCTGGCTCATCAGAACGTCGCAAAAGGTGATCACATGACCTAAGGACGCAGCAAGGGTCGTAAGTATGAACCAGTTGCCAAGTATGTGAATTTTGAACACATGGGGATGGTACAAAGATTGTAACTATGAAAAATGGTCATAAGTCACTTTTTTCATTGCTGTTGTAACTTTGAACAGCCACTAAATGAACTGTTGTAAGTCGAGGACTACCTGTATGGAAAATGTGCGATGGATGGGACATGGGTATACTCATTTCACCTATCAATGACTCCTTGAAGAATTCATTTGCACACCCCTATTATCCTGGATTTTCATTTCAATATGATTTCTCATTTATACTTGATTATGTTTATAAAAGACAGACCTGCAATATGAAGGCTTAAATAATCCTACATGTATCAGTGAGTTTACTCATAAATGGCTTGTTCACAAGGAAATTCCAGCCCAGACAAGATATACATGTAGTCCTCAACTTACAAGAAGTCACTTAATAACTGTTTGCAATGACACCCTCAGAATGAGTATGTTACAACCTGTAAAGCATTTCCCGCCATCGTAAACTGTCGCATTGGCCCGCCAATCCCATTGGTTCACTTTTACACCCAATTGCCAAGTGCCCTGCAATCATGTGATCATTATTTGCAACTTCTCTGCTGGCTTCCCCAGAAAGTCAATGGGAAGCCAGCAGGAAAGGCTGCAAATGGAGGAGACATTGGATTTGAGGTCCCTGTATGCAGAGAGGGGAAACCTGGCAGAAACACAAACATAACTTTTCTGAGGCTTTCTGTGCAGCTGTGGAGAATCTTGGCAATCATATCAGACCTGCCCAGGAAGGAGGCAGCATATTCCAGAGAGAAACCCAAAATAAGAGACAAAATTAGACTCCTGGAGGACTCTAATCAGGACTAGGTTTAGAGGAAAGAGTATCCATAGCCTAGAATTTCCCAAGGTATATCTATTAGGTTAGAAGGTTATAGTTTTAGCTTAGCAAGTTCTATTAGATGTAATTAAGTACAGAACTAGACTCAATTAGACATTACAGCGTCATTTTTAGGCTCAGTCCTAATATTTTCCGAACACTGGTGTTCACAAGTATTTTTCCCTCTGCGCCTGTGTGTATAAACTCTGATTTTAAAGAAAATGGGTACACAAAAAAAAGATGTAAAAATGCTGCAGAAAAATATCATTTATTTATTTGGGTAGTATGTTAAAACAAAATGTTCATTATATCAAATGAACATTGAACATTCTTAGGTAGAATATAAAATGGATTCACTACTTACACTGGTTGTGTGGAGCTTCATCTTAAATTTTTCAAAATAGAGCCAGTGTTTTGATTCGTTAGGATCTAGGTCGTGATAGAAATCTCTAGCCGCATAACCAAAACTATGGAACTTTCGTTCTGGGGTCAAGAGAATAGTTGTTGGTGTCTTCTGGTTGGCCACACCAGGATCTCCTCCTTCCCATCGCCTAGAACATAGAGAAAATAATTTAAAATCCATCAAAGTTTGATATCTATTGCTATTCAACCTGCGTAATTTAATCCATGCAAACACAATAGCTTTGTGGAATTATTTTTAAAAAATCAGTACACAACCGTCTAAGAGTTTTTTTTAAAAAAAACAATTACAGGCTGAGATTTAGAGGTTCTGGAGGAAAATACACCAAAATCCACCAAAAGTTAGGTATAAAGTGTGCCACTTTTGTCACAAAGTGCCCCCCCCCCACAAGGACTAGCAGACAATCCACAAGCAGAACCTTATTGCCAGATCTTGTTTGTGGATTCCTATGATGGGTCTGTATGAGAAGAAAGCAGATGGGTCAATTGCCCAAAGCATTGTAATTCCTGTTTCCTCTACAAAGAAAAGCATCAAGTATTTTATATAATAGAGCCCTATTTTAAAGATGTGTTCCCTACGGCCCTTGACTATTAGGAAAAAAACTCCTTTAATTGTTTTGATTTTGAGTAGTTCTTGGTTTTGGAGAAGGAGGCTCACTGGACTGCAGCAGCCAGGTTCTGCCCCAGCATGCAAAACATATAAAAAGCATGGTACATGCACTGGCAGGGACACGATGGCTCAGTGGCTAAGATACTGAGCTTGTCGATGAGAACAGTCAGCAATTCGGGGGTTCGAATCCCTAGTGTCGTGTAACAGAGTGAGCTCTTGTTACTTGTCCTAGCTTCTGCCAATCTAGCAGTTGGAAAGCATGTAAAAATGCAAGTAGAAAAATATGAACCACCTTTGGTGGGGAGGTAACGTTCCATGCGCCTTCAGCGTTTAGTCATGCCAACCACATGACCACGGAGACGTCTTTGGACAGCACTGGCTCTTCGGCTTTGAAACGGAGATGAGCACTGCCCCCTAGAGTTGGGAACGGCTAGCACATATGTGTGAGGATAACCTTTACCTTAACATGCACTGGCACTGCATTTAATACAAGAGACTGTATTGAAGAATCAAATAATAAAGAGCATAAAGTGAGTATATTTTGTGGGTGACAATGTTTTTTTCTCTCCTTGCTGTAGCACATTGTTTATTATTAACACTGTCAATAACTCAAGTGAGCTAAACCTCTTAGGCTTTTCGGGTGAGGTCATTTGTCAAAAGGGCACACTAACTGGTCACAACCTCTTACACTTGAGTCAATACATTAGCACTGCACAATTATCTCTTAGCAATAAAACATCCTTTGTTCTCAGCCCATGAAATTGCCTTCTCAATATATAATTAGGAGTTCATTATAGAGCAAAGAGAATCCCAGTGGCTTGTTTGTGAAGGGGGGGGGGGATACACAAATTGAAAAAGTCTATTAAATTAACAAATGATAACTGTAAATAATAATATCCAAATATCTTGAATTAGACTTTAGTGGAGGCACATGGTAATCTGAGACGTGGTTTAAAAAAAAAGATTGAAATGCATCATTTTGTGCCATTCAGAGTCTGAATCGAGATTGCTGCTTGTGAAGTCCTGCGCACCAGCTGCACAATCAAAGCAAAGAAAAAAAATATTGTTTTGATTGGGAATCCTAATAACTGTAATTTTGACTCATTTTTGATCTTAATTTAACTGCAATAAACCTTTTGAATCCCTTCTCAGTGCTGTTCTGTCAGGCACACAGGGTGCACCCTGTGGCTAAGATTCACAGAGCTATCTTTAGTATACAAATGAATTTTTCTATCAAACCCTTCCTCAACTTGGATGGTCCCAATGTTTAAGAATTGCCAACGCACCCTGAGTCTGTGTTTCAGACTATACACATCAGTGCCCAAAATTCAGCTGGCAGAGAATTTCAGCCTTTATTTAATAATAGCAAAACCTGTATTTCTTTTCTTCCTTTAGGATGTACAGATGAGTAAAACTGTGCAAAATGTTACTAAAAGAAGGGTTTACAACTTGTGACAGATTCAGGTTGGGATTTCCCTAGTCCTTTCTACTTTCTTATAACTAGGAAAAAAGGAACAGATTCTGACCTAGATTTTGGCTTGATCAGGCCTCTAATGCACAATGATTGTTAAGAATACAAATCCTGCCCCACCATAAGGAGTAATAGCACAAGACAAACAGCCAAAGCATTCCAACATTTAAATCCTGCACTGACTTGCGATAACTCTTAAAACGCACAATCACAATCTTGCATCATATGTTGGTTGAACCAGAAGCTTTGTATAACCATAACATTTCCCACCAAGATATAGGTAGGCCTATCCAGAGAGGATATAGCTCAGCAGAAAATCATATGCTTTGCATGCAGACAGTCCCAGGTTCAATCCAAAACATTTCCAAATAAGACTTAATATAGTCACTTAGGTCAGGGGTCTCCAACCTTGGCAACTTTAAGCCTAGCAGACCTTCAACTCCAAGGTTGGAGATCTCTGACTTAGGTGAAACTAGTGCTACTTATTAATCAAGAGTGTTTGTCTACACAAAGCAATAGCCAACTTCTTATAAGCCTGTTTCCTATAGTCTTAGGTTTGTTTTATTTTATAAGAGTTGTATTTTAAGAAATTCCAGTGTTAGAAAAAAGTTGCATTGCTTATTAACAAAGCATTGTCCATTAACTTCTGCAGACATTTTTATTTTAATACTATCAAAGAAAAGACTAAGTGTACATAAACAATAAGAGAAAGTATTCAGACTTGATGAAACCGTGGTCCCTATTTATTCATCCAGCCTGTCACATGTTTCCCGTGGCCATCCTAGTATGGAATCTCTGCCCTCAGCTGATTCCCCCATACTACATCTCTACTCTGCATCAAGGAACCTTGGCAACGCCTGCAGTCTTTTTATTATGCATTTCGAGAACTATAAATAGTCTTCCCTGTCACTCTTCTCTGTTAACCACTTTGATGTTAACAGGGAAAGGTTAAGAAGCAGGAGTCAAGACTTGGCTTAATTGCATTGTTCTTAGGATGGTTTGATGAAGTCAAGGACAATATCAGCAGCACAATAGTATATGCTTGGAGTCACTTGATTGTGTTTTTAAGATAGTTTGTTTCAGTGAGAGACAAAGCCTTACTAAGGCTTTTTACATAGCCTTAGTAAGATTGCACTTGGAATACTGCATCCAATTCTGGTTATCACAATATAAAAAGATATTGAGACTCTGGAAAGAATGCAGAGAAGAGGGGCAAGAATGATTAGGGGACTGGAGGCTAAAAACATACTGGTTACAGGAATTGGGTATGTCTAATCTAATGAAGAGACTAGGGAAGATATGATACCAATGTTTCAATATTTGAGGGACTCCCATAAAGACAGACAAACTATTTTCCAAAGCACCAAAAGGCAAGATGAGAAACAATAGATGGAAACTAACCAAGAAGAGAAGCAACCCTAGAACTTAGGAGAAATTTCCTAATGGCGAGAGCAATCAACCAATGAAACAACTTGGTTTCGGAAGTTGTGGGTGCTCCATTACTAGAGGCTTTCAAAAAGAGACTGGACAATCATTTATCTAAAATGGTACAGAGCAGTGTTTCTCAACTTTGGCGACTTTAAGTCCTGTGGACTTCAACTCCCAGAATCTGGGAGTTGAAGTCCACAGGACTTAAAGTCGCCAAGGTTGAGAAACACTGGTATAGAGTCTCCTGCTTGAGCAGGGGGTTGGACTAGAATACTTCCATGGTCCCTTCCTACTCTATTATTCTATGAGAAAGTTAAAAATGTGTGCAAGTTCTACACTAAAATAAAAAGTTAATGTGTTGGAGGAAATTATACACTTTTCATGAAAGAAGACAATGAATCAATAACATAATAATCCAGTCACTCAACCCATTTCTTGTACACATACTCTATTCAACCCTAACCCTGTACTGATAAAAGTTATTTTCAAAAATGAATTGACTTAACCTGGACAGGTTTATCATCCCAAAGAAAGGCCCATTTTTGTGTGTGTTTCAACTCTTCGACCCCAGTGTTTGTCATCTCTGATACTGAATCACAAACAACTAGAAGCCTCTGTGAAGGAGGTCAGTAGGACCAGTTTCTCTACATTAAAAGCAAGAGGGTTGTATGCCATACAGAAGCTAATTCATTTCCACGTTAGCCCAACAACTGAACAAAAAGCATGACAAAGCTTAAGCTTCAACTAAGAGCATTATAATTTTATTTCCTTTGCTGCTTCCCTCCCCACTTCACCTGCAGTTTTAAAGCTGGAGAGAAGAATAAGATTTTTCTATGATTATCTGTATTCCAGGTAATAACAGGAAATTGCAATCTGTTGTGGCACTTGCATTCATAACTGTTGTTGTGGCAGAATAGCTGGCAACTCCTTGGAGCTGTATTCGTTTTCCCTTCGGAGAGGAGCTATAAGAAATGTTTTACCTCTTATAGAACAGGATAGCAGAAGAGATTGGCTTACTGACCCCTTCCAGTTCTGTGATTTTGCTTGGGCTAACAATTTTGCAATCACAACCTATCAGAAGCTTCACACTCAATTACACATCTCCCAATCCACTCCATTGATTTCTTTATGGCTGTGTTAACAATAGTCACAAGAAAGTAATTTTGTCCTTTTTACATTTTATTGAAAATGAATAGTAGAAAAGGATCAGTGCAAAGCAGTAAGAAAACTGTGGAAGGGCGAGGGTTAATGAAAAAGAGTAAGATAGAACTAACATTTTATTTTATTTTAATGTAAACATCCTCAAATATAATGTAGCTCGAAATGACATTTCCTGTAATAAATATCTTCCAAAGTACACAGATTACGTAAATATTGACTTTGCAATTCTATCTACATTACCAGTTATCACAGTTTAATAAACATAAGACATAGTTAACTGCCATACTTATTTTACTCCTTTTATTTATTTATTTTAAAAAGATCTCTAGAAACAATTCTGAAAAAGAAGAACTCACAAGAACCGCTGTTGGGATTTCTTATGTTCATTTTTATGAACTTTTTGAACATACAGCTTGGATGGCTAAATACTACTTGATAATATTTCACACTGATCCAGTTTTCACAGTAATCACACTGATCCAGTTTTCACTTTTGAACTAATCTTCAGGTTTGATTCAGTATTCACAATTCACAACTTCAGTATGATTTGTTTTTTATTGCAGATTAATGGAAAATTGCAAACCACAGAGAAAAATCCATTCTAAGGCTCTCTCTTTTTTTTTAAAGGAAATACATTGCATTACAGTATTCGCCATTCCACTATAGAAGTCTGAAATCTGGTTTGCAGGAAAATTCTCATTTCTAAAAACGTTTGAACATTTCTATATAACTAAAAATACTTTTATTTCCTATTGTTTTATGAAATGCTGGTGCTGTTGAGATAATTGCTTATTTCCTTATGTCTGATGCCTCTGGTTGAAAATGCATCATCAGACATGTCTGGAGATAAGTAGAAAGAAGTTTCTTAGCATCCATTCAAATTTATGACAGACCCCTAACAAAGACTTACGTTTTCAAGTTTTTCTTGAAAGTTTTTAACAATGTCCAACCTTTCTGGGGTTGAGAGCACTGTGATGTAGGTTACAACATACATTTTTGTTTCTAATAGTGATTAACATGTAATATCATAGTTTTGGGTCATTGAGTAGTTTGGGGGGGGGATAGATGTAATCGATATACTAATGACACTCACTTCTACTCTATAGAAGATCAGGATAGGCTGCGCATCTTTTGATGCAAAAACTGGATGTGTAAGGACCAATACACGGAGTTTAAATCCTCACTTATTGGACATTCTGTGATAGGTTTCTTCCTAAATATAGAAATTGGGAAATCTGCCTGCCTCCATTGGGTTACACTCATTCAGAAATAATAATTTAGTGTGGCTTTTAAAATATTTCTACATTCATTAAGGCAGATAAAATCAAAAGGTATCCCTATCTGTAATTAAAATAAGCACTAATCAAACCAGCAATTTTACCACAGAATAATGTAACTCTTTATATTTCCCTTTGTCCATTACATGTTGATTAAGTTAATAGCACTTATAGCAATACTACTTAGACTTATATACCACTTCACAGTGCTTTATAGCCCTCTCTAAGCAGTTTACAGAGTCAGCATATTGCGGCCAACAATCTGGGTCCT